TAGTAGCAGGACATGAAAGAAGAAGTTCTTGAATCCAGGTTTGTTTGTGATTTGCTGTTTGTTGCGGCCAACAGAATTCTAATAGTAGCTATTCAAGCTACTATTGCTGGCTGGTGATGAAAATTTTTCCTCTGTTTTTGTGTTGTACAAACTGATGGCAGACAATTTTTCTTATTACCTTACTACTAAACCCTAATTCTGGCTGGCAGTACTGCTGCTGGTAACACCATGTTATTTTCAGAATGGCACCAGTTGTAACCAGCACTTGTCTATGCTGGCATGAAAGAAATATCTGTCCTCAGCACCAAGAAAACCACCTTTTCTCGCCAATACAACAACTCCTAATTCATATTATTTGCCTATATGTAGTAGATGATTTTCTTGTGAAAATACTTTTGCTAGTACTAGTAGTTGTAGGGAGGAAGAAAACATTTCCATTCTAGGATCAGAATGTTTGCGTGCACAATAAGGTATTTGACTTAGTATCCTGGGCTGGTGCTGCTGCTGTGCAGGCAAAGATTGCCATGTTGAAGACAGTACTAGTAGTACTAGCAGCAAAAAGTGCAGCATTGCATTTAGCTTTTTCTTATGATGCTTGGTGTTGACCAACAGGTGCTCTCCCAGAGCYYCTGAGAACGCTTCAGGTAGTTACCAAATGGATACTTGTCTCTGAAAAAAGACTTTTTGATGACGCCGCGTTTCAAACGTGTTTTACTATTTTATTTGGATTTTATGGTTGTCGCACAAAAGCTTTTTGACGATGGTCATCTGCAATGACCTAATTCCCGTCCAAAATTTCTAATAATTCTTCTTGAGAAGCAAATCCGCCATCGATGCCCCCTGCAGAAATCACAGCATTCAACTTGGTAGAATCCATGGGATTTTCTACTACCTCGTTCTCAGCCTGCTGTTTTTGCCTCATTCTATCGAGCTTCATCTCGATTGTATCTTCTATCAAATATCGCCAGACAAAGGTGCGACGAGCTTGACCAATACGGTGTATTCTATTAATAGCTTGCTGATCAAGACCATTGTTCATGATAGGCTCGACCATRAACACATGATTAGCATGCACCAAGGTCAATCCTTCTGCCCCTTGCTTTAAATTAAGAAGCAAGACCGTGCAGTCTGGAGACTGAAAGGCAAGAAGACWTTCACTGAATCGTTTGCCTCCATATGGTCGTGCAACCGYTACTTCATTTTCTATCAGTGCTGATTCTARAATGTCAAGCATGTCGTGCCATTGGCTAAAGATAACTCCCTTTTCGCCCTTCTCCTTAATACATAAAATRTCAGAGACAATTCTTGTAATCTTTGTACCGTAGCTACCTCTCACTTTCCTGGAAGTGTTGCTCCCATCATCTCTTGCTTTATCGGTAGAAATCATTACTTCATTCTTAGCAGTCACCAAACGGCATTTCATGGGACAGTGGACATTGACTCCACAGCTATTTTTTAATATTTGATCAAAACAAGGTTTTTGATGGAAACGATGGCCACATCTCAATACGCTACATTCTCCATCCAAAGGTTGTAAGCAAACGACGCAAGTTTCGGAAGTAGAAACGTGCTTAGTCTCCATTGACTGCTTCTGGTTTTGAAGATACCTCAGTGTACCTGTAGATTGTCTCAAATCTCCAAGAGACATAGCCTGTTTTGCAGCGTGATCRTGGTACTGATGATGAAGGTCAATCGGCTGAACTATGGCATTCAATTGATCTTCTGTGTATGACGTCAAGTCCTCGTTTTCTAATGACAAACGCAAGCCTTTCTTACACGAATCTAATTCATCTAGACCATTTAGGAGATCCAGATGGATCCTCCACATTCTCCACGCACCAATTTTTTCGCGCTCCTCAGCTTCTAGGACTTCAAAAAATCGTTTTGCTCTTTCTGTCACATGCGAGGCTTCTTTCGAGTTCAACAAAGAAKTTCCGGCTGATGTTCGAACGGCGGCATATACAGCGGTTAGAACCGCGATCGTTACTGAATCTGGTTTTAGGTCCTGTAAAATACTTGCGATGTCACAGTGACGACAAATCTTTCCAGTCTGATTCCAATCAGCTTTACATAATCGACAGTGACTATTTTCGTCAATCTCTCTGAAGCCCGGGGATGAGGAAAGGTTGAGGATTGACTTCATACAACGGTGATGCTCACCCTTACAGCATTTGAATCGAGCACTTCGTACTTGAACAAATTCGTTGTCTGCTCTGGTCGCTGGTAACACCAACTGTTTCTTACCGAGTCCATCGGAACGGATTTTTGAAATGCGGATGTTCAAAGCAGTTCGAAGTCCAGAAATGTTGTTGAAATCAGGGAATTTCATACCTTCTTCTACGTTATAAAGACTATCAACATCCTGCACAATGCGATCGAATATAACATTGTGCTGCGCATCAGAAGCATACAAAGAAACCATTCCAAGAAAATCATCATACCAGCCATCGTCCCAACAATCGTCGATACATTGATTGGCCTTCGAGAATGTTGTGAAATCAAATAGAAGCTGCTCCTTCTCCTGTCGCTTGATGGTGAGTTCCTCGAGCTTCAACTTACATGCTCTGTGAAGAGCTACTGCCTGTTCTTTATGGACCGACTCAATTTGAGTTATTTCTTGTTTCATTGACTTCACTTGAGCATAGATATCGTCATTTGACTCTTCTGAAGTGATTTGAATCGCAGCCTGGTATGACAAACATGAATTATGTAGGGAATGAAGTAGTTGTAGGYCATCACTGTTTATTTGAGGCTCAAACAACTGAATTTCGAGCCCCAAGAAAAATTCGCGCTGCTTTGATGAGGAACTCAGAGTACTGTTGTTACAACAGTCTGGTATTGTCGCAACAATCCTCCATACCTTCGATTTATTTTTGCGGCAAATATTATCAACCTCGACCCAGTTATTTTCAAGAGCCGCTTCCACACAATTAACGAAATCTCCACCCGTTGCAACCGTCGCGACCTGCAATGTTACTGAAGTAGGTTTGATCAATTTATATTCGATGTCGTTTGAATTMTTTGAGTTTTCATGGGCAGGAAGATGCAACATTGGTCGAATTAAAAGCTTTGCAATCCTCCTYGGTGAATTTTCGTACTCAATTGTTGTCCAAATTTTCCCATTGCRTTGCTGCATCTTCCACATGGGAAAGCATTTTCCATTCTGAAACAATTGAACAGTTGAACAGAATCCTGTGCTTCCACTCAACCTTGCTTCTGATGTTGCTCTAACGGGATTGGCGTTTTTCTGCGCTAATAAAATTGACTCCCGATATAATCGACCACTTCTGATCAAGAGCGATCTRTCATTCTGCTCAACTTTTACTCCGCGAGCTCGAGCCTCTACTTTGAGTCTAGTAAGACCTGCCATTCCATTTGTGTGTAGTATTGCGATTCGTTGTGCTTCTTCACACTTATGCCTGGCATCGTCTATGAAACGATCGAGAATTTGCTCCATTGTCATAACACGTGATGCCACACTATTTCCCCCATCTTTCCGCGACCTAGATGATAACTTCCGTGATTTAGCTCGCTTGCCTCCCGAAAGACCACTTGACCCAACTTGTGGATGGCAACATGCAGCTCGGAGTCGATGAAGACTTTCAGAAAGGAAGTCGACCCGTTTAGATTTACGCTTCCGTCCCAGAGCAGAATATTTGTCACAATCATCGGCAAGTTGTAACGTCTTTTGAAGTTGACGATTGTAGAAATGTCTTTCTATTGAACTGAATTTTAGCACTATGCGCTGCTCTCTCATCTCAGGTACCCCAATCTGTTTTTTCACTATTTCTAATGCTTTSGTAGAACGCCAAAAAATGTGAYGAAGGAGACATTGTATACGGTCATCGAGTCCATAAATCACTGAATTCATACAAGCATTGAACCACTCCTTTTGATCAAACGGTGCTAGCCGAAGAAAAAGGAACAAGCCGTATAAATCTTGGAGTTTTCCGTGACCTATTGGAGTTCCTGATACAGCCCAAAAATGGTCTCCCTTCAATTTCAGTGMCATTTTCGCTGCTTTTGTTGTGGTTACTTCGACGCGTTGTGCCTCGTCAATACAGATCCTCCAGAAATGRATGGAGAGCAGTGGTGAAGGAACAACTCGATATTTCTTTCGTCGTCTTAAATTTGAAGAAGACCAATTACCGTCATTATTCTGGGAAATGAATCGATTTTCTTCAGAGTGAGTAAGATCTGACATGAGTGCGACGAAGCTTACTAAAATGACATCAGCGTCTGCCAAATAGGCTGGATACAATAGTTTTATCGCATTGGCATTCCCTTTTCCTCTTTTTGATTCCTTTTCAACCCCATTATAAACCAAAACTTTCATTTGGTGTGAATGTCTTTTTATTTCCTGTCGCCATTGATCTAAAATTGATGGTGGGCAAATAATTATAGTGGCCCTGCTTCTAATGGGTTCCTCTTTCATCGCACAACATGGACAACCTTTACAACGAACGCATTTCAATATCTCGTTGCCAAGCGTTCGTCTCAAATGAAGTCGCGGTAACTTTTCCACATCAGTAGGGTTTAGACAGGTACATCCGATGTGCATTGGCTCTTCGCAGTTGTCGCARAATACTATCATATTTTTTTGCTGTCGTCTCGAGAAAGAGATGATTTCACCACATATGCAACTACCTACTTCAATGTTGTCCACCCATCGTTCTTCAATATGCCCCTCTGTTTTTTCAGGTGCCACTAAATTAGTGTTGACGTGAGTTAAACGCATCAGCGATACTGCTTCAGGATGGATGTTTGTTTGTGCAAAAATATCATCCTTACTCTCGTCACCAACGAAAGGGTCATCACCCTCGGAACCTTGTCCATTATTGTTTTCCCCATTTGAAGGACTAAAGTCACCATCCCAAAATAGTCGCTTTCTACAAGTCCGATTATTTCCTTCTGTAAGTACAGTAGGTGGTAGCCTGTGTGCTAGAATACATGCAAGCACTTCAACCGTCTTCCCCAACCCCATTTGATCCGCCAATATTCCACCTTTGATAGAGTGAGTACGCCCATCAAGGGTCAATTGTTTCGATTCTTCAATTGACGTAGCAATCATTCCATTGAAAGGACAATACAATAGGCTCCMTCTGTCTGTGGCCTCGCTCTTCTTCACTTTCACTAAAGGTGTGATTGTCCGTGACTTCGAATCAAGTACCATCCATGAAACTTTCCATTCTTCTCCATGGTTTGCCATTCGTTCTCGTTCTAGCATCCATTGCACAGCAGCAGCTTGGTACGGTCGAAGCGTTGGTATCAGCCCCTCTATATTCAGTGTGAGCGGTTTCTTGTTTTCTCCCCCTTCGTATTCTTGRATTTTTTTATTGTCTACTAGATTGTAGATGTGCTTTGCGGAGATCTCGTCGATTGATTTATCCTTCGAGAAGAAAGGAGCAGCCATCGGTAGTTTATAGAGATCTTTGATGACTTGCTGTAAGCAATTAGCCAATTCAAGTTTCTTCTGCTGCCGGCCTTGTTGTATGAAAGGAAGTRCTCTGCAACTTTCAAATGCCTGCGGAGTTAAAATTACATCCAGAGACATTGAGTGCTCTCCTTGTGTTGATGAGCACAACAGTAGCTGAATCGCATTGCGCTGCACACACTTGATCAAAGGCTCCACGATTTGGTTTGGAAGATTATAACTCTTCCACAAATCTCGAATYGCAATTCCGGTGACCACAGAGTGCTGGATAGAGTTTGATTTCTCCGTTGATACCGTTCTTTCCTCCGTCATCACAATCTTCGTTCTTTCGAGATGGAAAGACCAYAAAATTACACATTGATCTATATCTGCCAATGAAAGGGAATCCATTCGTGGACAGAAATAGAGTAATTTGAAACATTCATCTTTGCTAAAACTGCCCTCATCGATTTTAATAATCAACTCTGGAGGAGGTATGAGGTCGGATTCCACAATGTGTTTATTATTAGACAGCGGTGATCCTTCATTTCCGCTTGCAAAGTGCACGTGCTTCTTGGAACGCCGTCTTTTTCTCGTTGTACATTTCTTTTTTCCCTTACTCAACATTTCGTGCTCTCGTTGTGCAATTTTGCGCTCGATTGCCGCGAGAGTGGGCGGCATTCTGTGCCCACGGTCGACCTCGGGACGTTGTTTTTCAATTTCATGGTCACATAACTGCTGATGCGTRKCGTRCATTTCTTGTTCGTCGCACATATCAATTTCCGAATTGTTTGAAGCGGCCTTCGTCCCTACCCTAATGTCTATTGCTATCTCTTTTGCCAACATGAAATCCAAAGATTGCGAAGTCCGAAGTTGGAATCGGCCAAGCACCTCACCCTGAACTTCTCCGTCGCCATCCTTCTCGAGTCGACGACGAACTGGCGTTTTCTTTTGCCTCATTTTGATCAATTCGAAAAGAACTATGCTCAAGAGTGAATCGCCCCTTACTTGACAAATACCTGCCAGCTCTCGCGACACCTCTGTTTGAATCAAAATGAGATCAACGATGAACGATGAACGATCATCGAGCAAAATGATGCTCGAAAATTCTTCATTTGTTTTCCTCTGCAAATACGTACCCGTACGTACGCTACGTACGGTACGTTGCGATATCTAAGTAGCGTACGGTACGATACCGAGAGTTCAGTACTACACATCGGAATTAAAATTTGGGATTCAGAACTTCGAAGGGTACGAAGAGGTTTTTGCCGTGTTATAGCTGAAAGTCCCATTCAACTTTTAGTCAAGAGCTCGGGAAGTGGGATTGATCTTTTGTGGTGGGATGCATGAAGTGGAAACCTGTAGATTATGAGAGATGAGTGTGTTTGTTCTAGTATTACAACTACTACTAGTAGTAGTACTAGTAGTATGCTCTGGCATCTTCTATTCCTCCTCACACTACAACTGCTACTACTACTACTACTACTACTACTACTACTACTACTACTACTACTACTACTACTACTGTGCTAACAACTACCAGTGCTACATAGTATAGTACTAGTACTAGTACATGATCAACAAGTGGTGATTTGCTCCTCCTTGTTGTTGTCCTCCTTTTCTTCTTGTTGTTGTTCATGCTGTTATCCTGCATACCAATCATGTGACAACAGAACAAGGGACAAGGAACAAGAAGAAGACAAAGGGAAGCAATACTAGTACTAGTAGCTACAACAAGAACTACTACTACTAGTAGTATTAGTACTAGTATTTACTTGTAATATTAGTAGTTAGTACTAGTAGTAGTACCTACTAGCTAGTAGTAGTACTACTACTAGTAGTACCACCAGCAGCACTAGTAGTGCTGCTGCTGRTAGTAGCAGTACTAGTACTAGTATAGTAGTACAAGTACCAGTAGTASTACTAGAAAGATATTGCTACCAATTCCATTGTCATGAGATTCTTCTTGACTTCATAGTATATCCTTCAAGAAGTTCTAAAGACAGAGCAGCACTGTAGTCGTCCTTGGAGGTAGTGCACGTCTTTTGGCCATGCCACCATGCTCAWCCTTTGTCTAGGTTGTTTAATGCCATGGATAAGTATATTGACCAACCAAAAAATATCACGTTACAGTACAACACTCGAAAGATTGGTGGAATGTATGCCATATTTATRGCAGCAGCAGGTACCCATAACTTCCAATTATCCACCATAGTTCTGCAGTATTTATCGTCCAGTTGTTCTCGGATGTCTTTCCAAGAAGATCCCCCAACCAATTCAAGATAGACAGTCACCACAAAAATAAACAAAGGAGCATATATTGTTTGGTCGATGACGATTTTGACGAAGGTGATTGATGTCCACGGATCAGTGGTTGGCGGAAGAAAGTGATCTAGCACGACATAGTAGTAATGTGTCACCGGAGTTTTCAAAAATATTCCCATTGTCGTAAATCTTGCCAATCGAAACAAGTCGAGGTTTCCATTGAATCGTTGTTCTAAGCATTGACCGACAATATCTCCTACACAGGYCATACATCCAGATGTTATAGCCTTGGTAATTAGAGGTCTTTGATCCAGTTTTTGTTCGTACCACCGCCAACCGCTATGGAAACACATTTTTCTTTTTGTTGCATTTSCCATCAGTTTTGGTGGGTTGAGTAAGGGAGAATAAACATYACTGCTTGTTGAGGACGTTTCTGATACAAAGACATTGTGAAAGAACATGGGCTTTCCCTGAATCTCGTCACAAATTTCAATTTTAGTTTCTTGGTCGTCCCCAAATTCATCCCGATCCTCGCGACTGAAAATTCTTCGACGCCACTCTTTCTTCARACCATACGCAATATTAATAACATCAACTTTTCCCTCTTGGTTTGAGTTCAGGTCCGAGACGGATCTGAGGCTACATGCCGATCGCGTTTGCTGGTCATCTCGCGGCAACATTTGTGTAGCAGCCTGTTTACCAGTCAATTACCTCTGAATGAATAGTTCAGAATCAACAAACAGAATCGGAATGAGCTTGTCTTGCAATTCCATGGTGTTGCTCTCGTGCGTTGACCGAGGGAAAGTTGAGTTCAGATACAAACGGCCACGACTTGTTGTTTTGAATAGACGACATGATCGATGAGATTGTCCTTTCGATCTWATGTAATCTCAAACTCCTGAATTTCTAAATTCCGATTTGACGTGATAAAAATTCTGCTCAGACCGGGGTCATACGGGTACCGTACGTAGTACGTTGTACTCGTATGTACACACAATTTTCGTACGGAGTACTTCTACTTCTGGTTCGCATCATACTACCGGTATGTACGTACGTATGTATATACTGTACTGTACAGTACATACGGTACATATTTTTAATTTATGAATATCTTCCCTGTACCAGACAAATCGGTACTAAAYTCTATTCGGTCTAGAACTATTGGTCGGATGCCTCAGCAACTTTCAACATCCCTTTACAAGTGTTTCGAGCAAACCAGTACAGACATCTGAGACACAAGATACACATGCATACTAAAGGCTTCAACAATGCTCCAATAATCATAGTGTTGGAAATGTGTACGATTAGCTATGGGTGAAAATATTTCATCGAATTTTGTACCTGTTGTTACATTCAACCTAAACTTATTCCTCACCGTCACCATTACCACACGGATGGCCTGATGCAGGATTTCTACTATATTTAATGAAACCAAATCGAGCATTAACATCCACCCATGGAAAGATGTGACGGTCTTTCGCACAGTCAAAAGAAGCAATAWCGTGATCTCTSGATGTCCGAATGAATTCAACTTCTTCCTTCAAGGGTGACCAGTGATGGGTTCTTTCGATTGAACCGAMAATGAAAGAGATGACGTGAGATTTTTCTACTGCAATACAAACGATGTCATTTAAAAAATACGAAGCTGTGTTTTACCTTTGAATCGCTCCAGCACCGATCTCGCATTTTTCAAGGATTCTTCCATTTCGATTGCGATGATAAACAGGATARCCTACTGCATCAGATGCGTGTACTTGTGAGTCATGCAGGGCAGAACCACTTTGCTTTGTTAGCATTTGCGACAGCATCTCTAGTGCTTCGGGAGTTGTGTGTTCCTCCAGAATTCCTCTCAATGTGCACGTTGGGACCTTAAAATATCAGAAAATTTGTTCCTGGTGAGATGAATGCATACAATACAAAGAGTAATCCCCTCTTGAGTTCGTCGAAAACTTACATTAGGTAGATGCTGGGCTTCTCGCCAGAATGCACGACAACCGTCATGCAAAAACCCTTGTGCTCCGCCCATACTTTTGTGAAATTGAGAGCTATCTAACATGGATGTAACAGTTTCTAAGAAGGCAGTTTGCAATGCTCGACTAAAATAGCCCTGTTGGTACTTCGCAAATTCCTCGACCATTAGAATCAGCCGCGAAGCCTTCTTGTCTGTAGATGATCCATGCGCAGATCCATTCGCAGCCGAAAAGAGTAGCTGTCGGCAAGCAAGATTTCGCTTTATATACTCCTGCTGCTCGGGTGTGCCAGAATAAAGAATAGATTCAGCCATTAACGAATTTGCACAGCCCTGTGAGTAGCCTATTAACCCAAAAGGAACATTGTACTCTTTTGTTGCCTCTATGGCTTCGATAATTCTCTCGGCATTGTATTCAAAAGAACGGGCTGTTGCTGTATCTGCACGAATAAATTTGACACCGCGCTTTTCCTCGAGTCTCCGTAACGCATTCTGTAGCTCGGTTCCAGCTTTACCCTCGGTGATAACACCCATCGCCGTGACAACTGTAAAATCATAATTGCCGTCGAGATTTGGAATTAGCAGCCTTACGAGAGGATCACGGCGCATTATCTCTCTGTCGTGTTTATCRAAAATAAGGGCATCCAGAATCGCGTCGACAATTTCTTGCTCGCTTCTTTTCGATGGGTTCAGAAAGATGCAATTACTATCGAGCACGTTTTTGATTGGTCCATCTGTTATGCCGTTCAGAAATTTTTCGAAGACATTTGGAGGTTCTTTGCTTCCTTCTCGGATCAGCTCGTCGTCATTTCTTTGCGGTGGACCATAGGTTGCACCACGCCGCAAACAGTGCATCCTTTGGGATTGAAGAATGAAATATGAGGAGATTATTCCCAAACAAAATTCGTTAGATTGCAATTTAAGTAAGCAAATTTTCATAGGCTCGTATCCGACTTACCAGTATCGAACGTCATCGACATCATCTACCACGTTATCAAAAACTGATTTGATCATTAGAGCATTGTAATTACGCTGATAAAAATAGCGAAACCATTCGCTGGTGAACGATTGGGGATCAAGATCACGRACCCGTGCACAAGCCTTAAAGGCGTCATAGTAAGCATTTTTAACTTCWGTGTACAAACCGCTTTTTTTCGCAGCATTTCCATGAGACAATAATCTGGGTAATAATTCCTCTCCTTTTGTGTCTGCGTCGTTAATTTTGYAAACAGCATCCCGAATTGCTTCTTTAAGTTTTGATTGCAATTCATCCCCGTCTCCACCATTCGTTTCATTTTGTATACTTTGAAGCTCCTCCTGTGGCAAAGGAATAGGATCGGACTCAAGATGATGGCGATACCTTTGTAAATGGGAATTTAAAGCCATGTAGCACTCTGCATCTTCTAGGATATTTTTTGCGAGTGAAAAAATGGCTCCATAGTAAGATTGTCTTGCCCATCGTCCCCCAGCCATATAATCTTCACGCCTTGGAACTCGCATTCCAGGCAACCATGATTCCAACAAGAGCTTCATGTCTAACTGATGTTGAGGTGTAAAAGAGCTCTGGTCCAGTTCTAGCAATGCCATCAAAGCTGATTTGAAAGCAAAAACAAATGAATCAGTACAAATATGGTGTGATCATACTAATGAGAAGCATGTACACAAAATCGAATTGCTTACCTGAAGCTAGTTGTCTGGGCGAACCTTGCCCGCCGGGAGTTCCGATTTCTGCAAGTACTGACACGGCGAAACCTTTTGGTTGACTTGTCACCAAATCCAAAAGCATTCTTTGATTGAGTTGAACTACAGAAGAACCCTTCATGACTGATGTCAAACCTGCTTGCAACAAAATTGCGACGTCAGCCGGTCCTAGCAAACAATCTCCGAGCTCGTATTCTTCGTCGTCATCCATAGCATTAAGACTTCTTTCCTTCTGAATAGTTGAATYTTGTAACTCCACGGGGACGTTGATTGATGAAAAGTTTGAGCTCGATGCGACCCTGGCAGCTGGTGTAACAAAACTCGCYTCTTTCTCCTCATTAATCTGATTTAACGACGGATCGTGCAATCTTGCACGACGTTGTCTTAGAGACACCAAAGTTGAAGGTCTATTCGAAATGTTCAGCGAGAGAGGATTTTCTTTCTTTGCGGGTTGGATGTATTTGAGACTAGATCTCGTTGCCTCCCCAAGAAATACAGACACCAGAAAGCTTTGCGGTAGAAAGGATAGTCCTCCGTAGGATTCTGCAATGTCCATCACTTTTCTTTTGATAGAATAAACATATCTAAGTCGCTTCAAATCAGATGATTGCCAATCTTTCTTGTCTCTCACCTTCAATAAATGTTCAATCTGTCGAAAACTGAGATAAGGAGAGATTCGACCAACCAAATTAGAAAATTTTCTATCGAGTGGAAGATCAGGGCGGTCGTGTATTTGATCATAGAGATCGGCAGCAGAGGGTATTCTCCGAAATCTCGAAGAATATTCACTAAGTAGGGCGAGAGGGGTGATATGATCCTCGACATAAAAAGGTTCTGCCGGTGTAGGATTAAACATTACTTCGAGCATACGCACTCCTCGGTCAATTTCAGGCGTCCAATTATCATAAATGCCCGCATACTTCCTAAGTAGTTCTTTGACAGCGACAACGTCAAGACCGTCACCTGCAGTTACACGTCGAATGATTCTGAGGCATTCTGGAACTTCWCTTAGATCTTCGCATAAAGCAAGAGAGAAAAGTCTGGCCATTTTGTGACCAGGAATAATATCTTTGGCTTCAGAAACAGCCTCTTGATCCATTATCTCTTTCAATCTCCATACCCTTGTAAAAATAAAGTCAAGAAGCTTATAAATGTCATTGTTGATGAGTCGCACGACCTGTAAAAGTTTCCTCATGGAACGTTTATCATGGATAACATCAAGAAGCCTAGCAGAAGCTTCTGGGTCCGGATTGGGAGATACCAGCGCGTTGAAGAATTTCCAATCATACAAACCCTCCTTGTCCTCGCGACTAGTTGCTGCCTTTTCGATTGATACACCACCGACCTGCGAAATTTTTGCACTTAATCGACCTTGACGTAACGGAGCTATGAGCAATGACACTTGTTCTTTGTTTTCGTGATTTACTGTTTCGGGTTCTAAKCCCACTTCTGTCACCTGAAGTATCGGGCTTAAACCTTGGAAATCCCAAAGAATTTCCAACTCAGATTTCCCTTCCATACTCATGTCAACGATAGACTCAACTACTCTAATCTTAACAGTAGTTTCGGATGGAATGATGACACGTCGGTGACCCAGAGATGTTGTCGATTCCCGAAGTCGGACGGAAAAGTCACATCCAGAAAAGTCAATTTCGTAAGCTTCAAGTGGGTTGAATAGGTTTGGACCAGTGCTCGTTACTGATTTAGCCAACTTCTGTGGTTTGAGATGGCATTTGACATTACCACCAAGTTTGCCTGAAGTATATGCTCGTAATTTAGTTCCCTCAAAAATCTCCAACTCAGGAAACTCCTTGACATTTGTCTCGCTATCAAGAATGATCGATGATACAACGCAGTCAGCGATAACTTGAATGCCTTCAACGATATTTTCCTTTCCGATTCCACGTTTACCAAAATCTTCCTTCAATTCATTCTCCATATCATCTTTTAGRCGATCAATTCCACCAAGAATCTGAACCTCGAGGCGAGCACCTTCCATCCTTGGAAGTGTCCTTGTCTGCCCATCGTCCATATAACTATTACTTTCTGGTGGAATGAATCCATTTTGAACACCAAAAGTAAAATCCACTGCAGGAAGATGCTTCAATACATTCCTTTTTCGTTTGATTTCGATTGGATCCAAAGTTGCATTTTCTCGAGCGGTGACACTACCAGAGGCATAAATGGACTCAAAAATTGTCGTAACCATACTACCTCCATTCAGCATAGGATGGCTTGCACCAACAGAAAACGTAACTGCGTCGATTCTCGAGTCTTCGGAATCGAAAGCAAAATCATACTGCAGTAAACGTGTGGCTTGATGAAAAGACTCTAAGTCTTGTGGGAAAAGCAGCATAGCGGCAACCGAGGRGCAGTCATTTCCGCTGGCTGCTAGTGCGGCTCGATGAGCAAAGGTCCGGCGATCATATAATGATCTYCCGGTGTTTCGGTTACTCGAACCTGCCTCTGGAGTAGCCTTCCAAACCACAAAACTCCCCCTTACCAATATTTGACTTTCGGCGGGTATCGGTGACGATGGATCGTCATGGCGAAAAGAACAAYGTTGAATATATAGAGATATTTTGTCTTTTTTCATGCTTCCTTTAGCACTCAATTCAACTTTCCAGGGAACAAGCTTATTGGCATTGAAGGGTAATGCACCTGTTTTAGATGAAGAAGGTGAAAAGTAGTTGTTCCCGAAAGCACTGTCACTTCTATCGTTTGATGTCCAAGAGGTTCTCGACGCCGATGATCTTGTAAGCCTTTCACCAGGTGTAAGCACTTCGCTGAAGTTATCACGACTTTTTCCAGCACCAGAATCACGACCGTGCATAAACTCCAGACCTAACGATACACCGCCTGGCATAGTTAAATCGATCCCAACGGCAGGAGGTGTTGCCACTAGTTCCAGTTGGCAATTCCAGGTGTCTATCATGTCGAGGGCTGCAATCGTAAGCTTTTGCTCCGCTATGTTTTCTCGTCTTATTTTTGCTGTTGCAAGGGGTTGTTTGGACATTAAGTACTCCAACAGAGCGTGAGGTTGGGGAATGATAAAAGTTGGAAGAATCACGTTGATGAATGGTATGGGGAAGACACCAAATAGGTTGCAATGTCCACTGAATGCAAGGCCGAGCCTCCATTCTGGAGAATTATCATCTATAGAGCTCCGTCCTTTGTAAACCGGTGTGATTCTGACCCTGCCCAAATGAATATGTAGGAAATTTTCCACGATCCATAAAACCTTTTCGATATAGTTACTAATCCCAATGATTARGTTGATAAAATAGCGCGTGATTGCTATGCGTCTATATCTTGGCACGACATAGCTATCTTCAAAGAGAGTTGGAATGTGGATCAGTGTCGGTGCTACATTCTTTAGCGAAACAGGTGGATCGAATGTCACTTCAGCGTATTTCACCATTGGACGTGATCTTGATGTAGTCGGAATGCTTACATCTAAATCTTGTGCTTGCGTGAAGCTGTCACTTCCAACATTTGCGTTGATCGAAACCCTACATCCACTCTTAGCTACGTCAACATTGAACTGAGGCCGAGATGGGTCTTTGTCGAGTGGAATTTCGTGAACACCCTCATTGATTTGAGCTATTGCCTTTGCATGGACTCCATGTATAAGATCTGCTGTCAAATGGTGAAGGAGCATTTCTGTTTGGGAAGAGCTCAGCAATGGAGCAAAAGAATCAGGAAGATCGAAACGGAAGGGCCTYGGCATTTCTGAATAAGATCGTGAACGCCTATGCGAACCAGGTCCACCCATATCTGTACTCCCGTGTGTGCTACCAACAGACGCATAGGAAGTAGTCTCGTCGAAAGCGCTATCAAATGATGAGGGCGCAGYGACTGATGATCCCGAATGTGCYGTGGTGGTTTGTTTCTCCTTTTGRTTCGAGAGAGMTGATTCGTCGTCTGGCTTAAATTGGATGCATAGAGCCGGCCTCGGTGGTAGGSATTTTAGTGGAACTGGTGGAGGGCGTGAAAACAAAACTCTGTATTTCAAAAATACAAAACTGACCAGGAAGATTGCGAATACGACCAACGAGGACGTTGCATCGGTATTRTCGACTGCCAATGATGCATATTGATGTAGAGTCTGGAGAAAAGAGTTGGGAAGAGACTGGAGMAAGTGTTTGTGTAGATTGTCGAACACRACGTTCTCACGGGTAAACCCAACGATAGATTCGAACATKATGTTATTCGCTCCACAACGAGCTTTACTTAATATAATGTCCCGTAACTTTGATATAGGGCRCTGGTAGGAACAAAAAAGGTCAATGATGTAGTGCTAGTTAACAAGATTGCTTTTGAAAAGCATTCTTGGTGAGGTTTCTTCCATCTCGATGACGACGACGCGCCTCGTTTTCTTGGATGTKTAGAGACACGAACGGATGCAGGATTTTTTATTTTTTGTTGCTAGCCGTTGGGGCGTCAATTCGCATCCCCGGATCGACGACATCACCACAGCAAATACGCTCTGTATTGTGCGTTGGGCGGAACATTAGTAACAACGTACTCTCCATATGTATGTATTGATGATATGAAATTTTCACGTGCAATAGTAACATTGTAGCAGCACCATAAGATTCTGAAACACAGTCAAAATCATGAAAWGTAACCTTGTTGCATCAATGAGACAGTAATCATGCACCAAATATCATTAACCATTGTTCTTCTTTTTGTTATTTCCTCTAGTACTGGTGGTGTTGTGCTGCGCTGTGTCCTTCCTYCGTGTTGCTGGTGCTTCTTCTTGTTCTTGTTGGTGTTGTTGTCATTGTTGTCCTCAACCTCCCCCTCCTCCTACTAATGAGTAGTACTAGTACTAGTACTAGTAGAGTTTGTGCTTGTCAGTTGTCCTTTGCTAAAGATTCCATAGTAGTGAACTTTCAAGAAAACTCTGGCCTGTTCCCCCCTTAGTAATGCCCACCAACTTTAGTAGAAGGGCAATTTCTAGTACTAGTAGCACTTAAAAATAGAGTATGATGGTACTAGTACTGATACTAATACTAGTACTAGATGTGGTGTATTGCATTGTCATTGCCACTAGTAATGATAGTGGTACTGATAATTTAAGTTTTTTGCAGACAAGATTGTGTAGCAGAGCAGTACTACTCGTCCTGGTAGTAGTATATGTGACATAGTAGTAGTTCTTCTGTACAAAAACAAATCCTATAACCTACCCAGATCTCTTGTATGATATTGGAAGAATATTTGTCAACAAAATGCAGAGATAGAGCTATMATAGTATGCATCAGATCCCACCAGTGTCAACCATGTTTTATTGGTCACAAACCAAAATCAGGGTTTCCCAATGGAAAGAAGATTTTTTGTTTTTTAACAGAGAGAGAGAAATTCAATAGTGCTCATTGGGTATAGCTAGTTCTCTACTAATATGGTATCAAGGACAAATAATGAGAATATGTCCAGCCAAATTCTCTTTGTTTCTCCTTAATTCCAGGGGGATCCAGGAAAATGCTTAATTTTTTAATTCTCACAAGAACCTAATGGAGGGTCATGTCATAAAGTAACAGACTACCAGGCCCCTGTGGTAGGTTTCTGGTTGGCTTCATGTTTTGTATTAGTAATCATTATGTCTTGATGTTTCTTTGGCTTCACAATTAGTTGACTTTGCAAGATTGTCAAACTGTTTGGCTTCATGTTTTGTTGTAGTAAGTATCTAGATGGTTTCTTAGCTTCATAATTGGTCCACTTTACTAGATTGCCAATTTATAGCTTTGGACATTCTTCTTCATTTGCTTTGTGACATCTTTGACTGTTGTGCTTAATAAAACTTTCTTGACATCTTCCAGTTGAGGCAAAAGTAGTACCTTCTTGTCCTAAATATGACCTCATGACCTCTGAGATCAAGATTGACAACCTTCTTTGGATACAAAATGCATATATTTCAGGCATGGAATGAATTCTTGGATGAGTATTATTGCCCTTGACAATGTTTACAGCTTATTCCTGATGACATTCTCAATAGCAGCAGTCTTCATATGAAGAATGTTCCTTGCAATAGGTTGAAGTTGTGGTTCCCAGTATAACAACTCTTTGGAAAGAATTTGCAAAATAGAGTATTTGCAGCAGTTGACCAGCCCTTACCAACTGCTCTGAAAGTAAGAATCTTGTTGATGAAGAATAGCTTTGCACAGGTTCAGACTCAGGCAACAGAGAAACTCTCCAAGCAAATATCACAATTCAATACAGTATAAACAAGTAGGACTTTGCAACAACTTGTACAATCCTCACTTCAAAATCCTTGATGATATGACCAATTAGAGAATTCAAAAGAAGTTCACACAGTGGAAATATGCAGTGACATCTCTATGCTGGTAATACTGTGGTATGGTAGTCGTACAGCAACTCCAGGTTGTTCAGCAGTACTACTGCTGTTATCAATATGATTACAAAACAGAGAATTCTGTTCTTCAAAGCTTCCATAGTAGAGATCCAGCACAGATCAAATGTTTTCCATTGCTATCATACCACAGGATAGGAGTTTTGCCACCTCTTCCTCCTCTTGATAAAATAACCTGATCTAATTGACTATTCAGAACTAGTAGTAGCAGCATGAGGTCAAAGAAACTGTCACAGTGCCTAATCCTTGCTTGTTCCCATAAACTGCTAGGTATAAGTTGATGACTTTGCTTCAAAAATTAAACACAGCTAGAGATGGTGGTCATTGATGTAGCAGATGGTGTCTTACCAGGAAAGGATTGCACCAGTTGTTTGCTGACATATTTTGGTCAACTTACCTGGAGATAATGTATTGTCCTGCAGTGATTCTACTAACAAGTTGTGAATTGATGATCCTAAACTGCATACTAGTACTACTACGAGCTGTAAGAACCATAACAAGGTGTGCCCATTGGATATCTGCACACACCAGTAGTTGTAATGTCCTCCTAGACCATGCAAGAACAGAGAGGAGGGAGAAAGTCAACATGTTAGTAGAGTTAGATTTATCAAGATGACATCATTGTACTATCCTGATCTACTACTAGTCCTGCTTTTTCAGTTTATCCAATGAAAGTAATAGAACACTTGAGCCACTTAGAAATATCAGAAAGGAAGTTTTCTGTGTTTTTAATGCTCTATTGAATATACATTCTTCACCCTCCTTTCTCTGACTATCTTTACTAGTTACACTGTAGTAATGAAATGTAGCTAACAAGTAGCTTGGAACTTTATTCATGGCCACCTAGACTAGTAGGAGTAGTAGTAGTAGTAGAGCAGAGAATTCCTGTGATCTGATGAAATTGATCTGGATAGATATAAAACTTTTGGTCTGGAGTATATTTTTATTATACTACTAGCCTCAATCAACTTAGACAAGAACAAGAAGTCTTTTCTTTTATCCCTGTTTACTACTGTTTCAATGTCACTAGTACTAGTAGTGCTAGCTAGTACCACTCTAGTTGTAAGAAAAAGAGACTGAACCTATTGATTAAGAAGTCATAAGTTTGTATCTGCCTATTGGTGCAAGGGTTTGCAGTGGTGCACCAGCTCCTCCAACTTCTTAATTTCTTTTCCTTGGCTAGTACCTCAACTTCAATTCCAAAGAAAGTCACCTGAAATCCTGTGACAAGATGATTGCTAGAACTTGAGGGAACTCTACCAGCATTGGTTTCTTTGTTGTCCTCCTGAATGGTGGAGTTGCAGTAGTTGCATTCCTTGTCAGTGGAAGAACAACTTCTTGTTTTGTTTGACACATTGCTTAAAAATGATGGAACTTCTCTGCTCCTTGTTATGCCATGTCAAACTTTTCTACTAAATTATTGCTTTTGAAGTATGCGTGGACCTCCTTTGGTGTTTTCTTGTTTCAACATGTTTGGTTGGTCCTGACTACTACTATGCTGGGGCTGATTGCTTGGACAGATTTGTTGTGTGCAAGTTCTTTTAGGAGTTTAAATTCTGGTATGGATCATTGCATAGAGCAGTCCCAAAGAAACTTTTTTGAGAAATTGATGTCATTTTTTACCTGGTTGGATTTTTCCAACAGGCTTTACCTTGGATCATCCTTGCTACTACTAGTAGTAGAAGTGTTTGTGTGGTGTAGAGCTACTAAGTATGGGTCCCATGCATGCTGGCAAGTTAAAGGCAATTCCTGGCAATACCAGCCTTTTCCTGTCTCAATTTCTCTTCCCCTCCTTTGCACAAATAAAACTATTTATCCATAAATATTTTTATTAGGGTTCATTTTTTCTACTATGGTCTAGTAATATCATTGTTACTACTCAAAAATTTGAGATAGCACTGACTACTGTCTGGAAAACATCCATGAGATTCAGAGAGAAATTAATTCCTTACCTCATTTTCTGTGGTTTCTTTTTGAAGATCTTGTTGATCTACTATACCAGTGCCAAGATTGTCAACTTGGATAGTCAGTAATGCTGGTGCAAAAGCTTAAACTGTAAAAGTGTGACCTCCTTGGATTGACCCAGTCTTCACCATCTTCTTGTAAAACATAATTTCAAATGCCTCAGATGCCTTGAAGTCTTGGTACAATTGTGGCTCTGTATATAGTTCTGAAGGCAACATAAAGCTGTTGGAATGTGAATACATTTTGACTTTTGCAGTTATGTTTATTGTGTTGAACCAACAATCTGCAATGTTCTTTGTATGGCCTGTAACATAGAAAATGAAGTTGACTTGCTTGAAATGTCCTGCTCCAACTAGCAGATTAGCAAGCCCAATCACATCATGATTGTTCTTGTTCTGTCTACAACAGCTATTCACCAGAATCAAGAGCTCCCCACCAAGTTCATCCTCCTTCATCCATCCCTTTTGCTTTAGATTCATCATTATGATTTTTTTTTAAATCTTCATAGAATAAAGTATGCTCCTAGTTGCTCCAAGGGGTAGTGCTTCCCTCCAACAAGGAGTGTTCATGGAAGCGCAACCAGTTGTTCTGGGGGGCTAGGAGATTAAGTGAAATATTTGCTCAAAGTGGTTTGAATGGTCTGGTTTGTAACAGCAGAGGCCAAGGAAGTCCCTGGTGATGCAGATGGTTTGTGACATTTCTTCTTGGAGTACACATCAAAGATCAGCCCATCTTGTGTGACGCTCTCCAGTGGTTGTTTACCATGAGGCAAAGGTGAAAAATACGTAGTAATAGGTTGTGTGTTGTGTGTTGGAGGCAGATGCAAGTGCGGCTTTGCTGACACTCACAAGAATAGTATTCTTGTATATTTGGTAGTATTACTAGATGAGCAAGGAAGCAGGTGCATTAGATATGAAGGCTTCCATGTCAGCTGGGAATAAGAAGTGGGCTAGAGATGGAAAAGTCTGTGGTTTCAGAGCAAACAGATTGCAGACTTTTGTTGCAGCTAGCAAGAATGACAATGGCAATTGATCAGAAGCCAAGGGTGGACATCTGTTGTCTCAGTGAGGCAATGGTCTGTTGTCACCATCTAAGCTGTGATGTATGAGAATATCTAAAGATATTTTCAGAATCTTCAGGCAACAGGCAAAGACAACAAGTGTCATGTGTTTGGTAGTTCCACTTTTTGAGGACAGTGGCAGTGGGCAGAATATGATTGCAACATTTGGTGACCAGAACATTCCTGGAGATGCAGTTGGTGATGGCAATGCTCAGGGACTTCCACCAGGCAATATCAGCAAGGACATGTGATGGCCACCTGTCTGCCAAGTATGCATGATATTTGGGGATCCGCATCCTGTTTTGAAACACATGTCATTTGGAGCAGACATCAGAAGTGCAGCTTAGATTCTTACTAGTATGTTGAAAGTTGCTGCTCCAGAATTTGCAGAAAAATGCCCAGGGGCATATTGGCTTCCTTTCCTCTTCCTCAAAGTCTTCAATAGGTTACCTGTTAGAGTTGAATTGTTGTTCCTCTTCAGTATCACCTTCCCTCCTTGCTCATGGCAAAATTGATAGTACAAGCCTCTTTTTGAAAAGGAGGGTGGTATTTTGTGAGTATCTTCTTCGTCATCTTTTGTGTTTGAATGCTCTCTAGTCGTGAAAGCGAAAGCGTGAAAGCTGTTACTGTGACGATGAGAACGCTGGAGGTGAAAGAGATCATTTTCTGTTTTGATTGAAATCAGCATGCAAAATGTATATGCCCGCCAAACGCGCCCGTCTCATTTTGGGCATATTGTCTAATTTCAGTACGTAAGTGGACGAGTAGCTGCTGACTCGATCACAATTCCTCTTTTTGAAAAAAAGTTGGGCGCGCCAAACTGAAAAAGACCTTGTCATTTTTTGTTCCTTGTTGTCATTTTTTATTTTTGTTGTCCGTCAACTTCAATGTGTTTTTGAATACTGTGAATACTGTATCTTCCTGTCGCCATCCATCCCACACACGCGCCGCAAACTCCCTGATTGTCAGCTGATTCTCTGATATCTTATTGGACGGATCCAAACGAAAGTCGAAGATAAATCGCCTCGAGACGCACCGTCTTTATGACAAAGACAGTAAGTGCCACGAAGCACGTCACGACGACGTGGGCTGTTAATCCATCGTTGTGTTGGTTCCTAATGATGATAATCGCGTTTTCCGTTCGCTAGTCTCTCTGGATGTCTTTGAAAATCTTGCAGGAATGAACACCGTTGAAGATGAAGCCGTTGAAGTTGGAGCCGAAAGCGCTGAAACCAAAGCCGAGAAAATCGAAACCGCAAAAACCGAGGCCGCAAAAGCCGCTAAGCACTTGCTGATGGAGCTGCCTGATATGGCTGTTGAGTTTACTGTGATCTCCACCTATCAATGGATTGGCATTTATCCTCGGGTTCGCCACCACCACTAACGGAGTCACCAGCAACCTCCTCCGAACAACGTTTCGACTTTTATCCAGGCCACATCCCGATGCCCCCCTGCTGTTGTCTTTTTCTTGCCTTCCCCTTTTGCATGGGTCTGGCCGGAATGGCAAGCTCCTTCTCCGCGGGAGTCCCATTCCAGGGGGGGAGTGGCGATGGTGCTCCTCTTTTTGGCGCCGGTGGTGTGGAGCGGAATTGCCGCGGTTAAGATTCGCCGGGAGCGGGCCCCCCTCTTTGCCACTACCTTCCTCGGCAGTTTGAGCGACGGACGAGGCACTTTGCGACGAAGCGGTGGTAACAGTTGCGGTTGTAGCTACCGAGTAGGATTCCTCCTGGATTCGATCCCATTCTTCCCTGGTCATTCTCCCAATCGTGGCAGCATCGCAACCACTGTGGTGGGATCCCATGTGTCTCGTCTTTTTGTTCAGGACGGGCAATTCCAGCGGCGTCAGGGCCCGTCGTTCGTGCTGGAACCACGTCCACAGCCGAATCTTCCAGGACGGATCGTAGAATGGATTGGTGGTTTGGAAGAACTCGCGATCATTGGACCCGCTGTGGTTCCTTGAAGACAGCGGCTGTTGTGTTGATGAATTAACCTTTGCAAACAAGGCCGTCGATGYCTTTCGGGTCGAGAAGGGATTCCGTTGCAGGGCGAGGCACTGGAGGTCCGGCAAGCACCTCGGAGACGTCCTGGATGTGGTTCGAKTCCAGCCACACCTCGCGAAGGGCGTAGCACTTTTCCAGCCCGCTGTTCCGACAGGTTTCCAGCTTAWTGTTGGACAGCTTGAGAATCTTGACYTTGTGCACAAATCCTTGTACSCGCACCTCGCGCCGTTAACTTCATTCCCTCTCCAAACAAGCCGTCAAAACCAAACCTGATGGTGGGCGTCGACACCAGGGGTAGATTCTTTTCGGAAGGCTGGCAAATTAGATCGGCGAGATAATCGGCAGAGAGGTTTTTGGAGATATTCAATGCATAAAAATCAAACTACAAACGCAACGAGGCGTGAGCATCGACGGTGATGTTTTGGAAACGAAAGATAAAGCAATATGGAGAGCAAAAAAGGAATCTTGTCACACTAGCTAGAGTAATATTAAGATAGTAATAGATGTATGCGTCCAGTCAAGACGGCCTTGGTTGGTCTATTTTGTTTCTAGTTCCGTTGATTTCACTCCAAATCTTCGGCACCTACTTCCTCCAATGGRATGTCCCACGAGTCGCAGTCATATTTTCCGGGGCAGGATGTGACGCCCGGAGGAGGACCTCCACCGCCGAGTGGGCCACCGCCTCCGGGAGGACCTCCACCGCCGGGTGGGCCACCGCCTCCCGGTGGACCTCCGGGTGGAGGACAGGCAATCTGGGCGTCCCGGAGGCACTTCACGCCGGTGCCCGGCCCGTTTCTACCGAAATCTCGGAAACTGAACACGTGAATGTCCTGTGCCTCAAAGACGGGAATGTAAATCTCGGTCATGCCGTCCTCGTCCGTTCGATCGTATCGCGTTGCCACGGAACCAATGGTGCTGACGGTGATGAGCGGCTTGTCGGGGAGGTTCGCCTGGGTCGTTCCCTGTCCGTAGAAATCGTTAATGTCAAAGATAATGTTGATGTCGTAGCCCCACTTGGAATATTTCTTGGGACGGAAGACCCATACCTTTCCGGCCTCGTCACCTCCCACGACAACCCACGGCCGTCCYTTTTGGAGTTCTTCCTYCTTGGATGGGTAAAAGGAGAGGGCCTTTCCGGGAGCTAGGCGGCTGGCTCGAGATCCCGGCGGCGAGGGCTGGGGATAGATGCCGTCCAACAGGACTCGCGTGGTCCACTTGGAGGCATCGTAGAGATCTTGAGCGTCGGAAGGGGGKGTGATGGCGTAGACCCTCCCGGGAATGTCCGTGGGAAAGGCACAATTGTCCGACTGGTGGTTGGTGGCCAAAATGTCCACGCGGCCGTCGTCGTCCAGATCGACAATCTTGACGCCAAAGGGCTTGCCCTGGTCCGTCGACACGTCCACGGAACGAATGGTGGCCTTGCCGCTCACGACASTCGGCCAGTCCGGCGTTTCGCTGCTTCCGCCGTCGGCCGCCATCWGGTCGYYCACGCCGTACACGGTGATCTTGTCGCCGGTGAAAAAGTGTGTGGCGATGAATTCCGGCACGCCGTCGCCGTCCAGATCGTAGTYCGTGATTTCAATGTCGGGGCCGAGGCCGTCCACGAGGACGCCCTCCTCCCATTCGACGTCCTTCTGGAGTCCCGCTCCGGGATTCTTGAACCAGACCAGCTCTCCCGCGGTGGGCGGCTTGGGCGGGGGAAAGACGCGCTCTCCCGTTCGCACCGTGACAATGTCGAGGAGCCCATCGCCGTCCATGTCATAAAAGACAGAGTTGTGGTAGGCCCGGCTCTGTGGGCCCAGCCCGATGCTCTGGTCGATAATGTACTCCTCGCCGTTGGCAAGGTCAATAGCCGAAAGCCGACCGGGAAAGGGGGTGGCCAGAAAGCCCTGTGCCACCACGAGGGCCTCAAAGGGAAAAACTTCCCCGGGGGCGACGAGGGCCTGATTCGGCCACACAGTCTTGGGAGGGCCGGGTGGCGAGCTGGGTATTTGATCGGTGAGGATCTCGACGGMGTTGACGGCCTCGGGATCGAAGCTCGTGTTTTCRTCGACGGAAATCTTGGCAACGAGATCGGGAGCGAGTGGAATGGGACGGGGAGGCCCCCCTTCGAAACCAAACTTGACGGTGAAGAAGCTCGTGATCACGAGGGYGTCGCCGCCGCTCTGGAATTCGTCAAAGGAGAGAAATGCGGGATTGAAGTTGACCTTGATGGTACCGAGATTGGTCAGGCCAAAGCACAGGCTTCGGCGTCTCAGATAGGCCGCAATCGCGGCCCAGAGTCCACCAAAGATTGGCAGAAAACGGACCATTGCTTGGTTGTGTGTTTCTGGACGTGTGATGTGGTTTGAACCAGGCGTTACTTTTTATGCGAATGCTAGTTGGTTCGTCCCCCCTCTCCTCGGTTGCGATGCAAATGACCGATTTTTTTGTGGATCCAAGAATGCTGTTGGTTTCGCGAGTTTTCAAAAAGCGTAGAACAGTTCGTGTACTGCGCACACAAGGGGAAAAAATGCTTCGATTTCATGAGAAGGGACGTCCATAATATGGTATGTATCTTTCTGCTTCAACAGTTCCATGTTCCAATGTTGTACAATATTGCGCGAAAAGGCTTATGCCACGAAGCATGTGATTGCAAAAACAATTGCTAAATGTTTGTCATTAGCTCTTCAAAAACGCGCGGCGAGCAAGATTGAAACGGCTGTTTCATTCTTTTCTATCCACGGAACAAGGCTTTCGTTTTCCACGGCATTCCACGGGATGAAAGCATGAAAGATGGAATCAATCGAAGCGCCAAAACTCTCGCAAAATTCGGCTCTTCGTAMTGTTTTGATCTTGTGGAATGACACGAGGAGAGAATCGTCCCGATGGAGAATGAACACAATTTACGAATTCACAATGAGCTGTGGATCACTCGAGCTTGCATTCGAAAACAAACGAATGATGGCAAATCTAATCACACAGAGAACGACTCAATGGCTTCTAGAACGCATCAATGCCATAAATTAAACAAGATTTGCTATAGATTCTTCATGATCGATTTCGTACAAAGCATACTCTTGTA